ATTCCGCACCAGAGGAATACAAGAAACTTGCCGAGCGGTGTTGTGATGCTGATCCTGATAAGCGTCCAGATGCAAAGACACTTTGTTATGATGTTAGCAAGCTTATTGCAGAGGTGGACAAGGACAATTCTAATGACAACACGTGGAATGCCGTTTATCATAATGATGTAAAACCCTTATCACGTCTCGAGAAGGAGAGTAAATATTCTAGTACGCCCTTACCTACTGGAAATTATGATATGGATTCAGCTGCAGGTATGGTTGCACGTTGGTACAAATAAAGTCAATTTACAATATTAACACCGTGCATTTCTTGTAATTTAGAGACTCGAACTCTTTTTTGAATAAACTTGTAATTCAACGGGGTTATACGAGTTTATTCAAAGGTTCGAATATGTCAATATGGTTGGTGTACGTTTACTGTTAGCTGCCTTTGCCGGGGTATATCATTTGACTATGTAAGAAAATATGATACATTATTTACTAAAAAGTAAATCTTGAGACTAATGTTTTATGAAATTGGCTAATCGTTCCTGAATAAAATATGTAGCAACATTCAAGCTCGGTTCGAAGCATTTCAGCACCAGCCGGTGATGCGTGCTTCCCGACATTGTTTTCATACCCAAACCAGTTCTTTTCCAAATGGTCCCATGCAGTTGGCCAATAAGGCCTTGTGTTATGGCAAGCCGATCTGATGAATTAGATAAGTGAGTCACGTGGTAAAATCTTCCTCCGCAGTCATGATCAACAATTAATTTTGGTATTAGTATAGTGGTCGCGATACCATCCGTTGCATATTTTGAGCATCGGTGCCACTAGTTAACTTAAAATCTATTGGTCCTTGAAAATGTCGATTACTGTTGCAATTTTTGGTAATCGCGGGTTATATAAGCGGCCTTAACCCATCGTCAAATTCTCATGTTGTATATGTTATATGTTCGTAATGTTCATGTTTTTAATGTTGTAAATATTGTTCATATTATAAAATGATGTTCAGGCTATTAGAACAATAATTCCCACTCTATGGAATAATAATAAACGATTCCCTTTGAAATCGAAATTTTACTTTCTTTCATCGTTGCAATATTAATTATTTAACCGGATATTAATAAACGGCTCACTTAAGCTGTATAAATTTCCGTTGATCTGGTACTGTTAATTGAGGAACGAGAGTTATTAATTATGTAACTTCTGATGGGGACTACAAATACATAGCTCATTGCAAGCGTTCAGCAAATTGGCGAAACGAAAATTCTATTACTCAAAAATGTGTATGTTAGAGAGAATATGTGCGATGTAATCTGTTTTATACAATGTGTATTCAGCGTTAACAGATAACTGCTAGTTGATAAAAGCGTCAACTAATTAGAAATACTAATTTTCTTTTATTATTATTGTGATATAATGGCTTTGGTAATCTGCGTCTATTACTATTACTATTAAAAAAGTGTTTGTTATACATATTTGGTATAGTCTACAAATATCCGTGTTACAGTGATGAAAATTTTTTCGTAGATTATCACAAATTTGCAAAAAACCGAAATGGGTCAACAATTTTTGACCCGTTCTCGGGTCGTACGCAAAATAAAAACAATCTGATGTAATCTCCACGTGACTCATTCGTTAAATTTTTCCGTGGGATTGGGGAGTGGCTGCGCACTTCGTCTTTTACCTTTTCCGTTCCAAACACGGTCTTTACGCAGGTAAAACTTGTGTCATACGCGTTTAACTTGCTGTACTATAACGTGCTTGCGGTCGTATTTTGTACGTGACGCTTACTGTGTTGCAGTCGGTTTACTCGTACGCATCACAACAAACAGCGCCATGGCGAATGCAAAAGCCTGGTTCAAACTTGAAACTACAGACTGGGATGAAGTTTTCTTGAAAGATGTTACAAACGTTGCTAATCTCAAGAAGGATATCAAGAGTGAAGTGGCACCTGAACTTGATGCCTATGCTCCTGGCAGACTCATTCTCAAAGCCACAAACAAGCTCGATGATGCAAGCCAAGCGGTGCAAGAGACAGTCTGCTTAAAGTCCTGGGAAGGCTCCATGTAGAAGTTTAGGATCAAAGTCCTGTTTCAGTTCAGAACTGCTTTGCTGAAAATGTTTGGTTGTCCGTCTATGTTCCATCTGGTAAGTAGTATGATGTCATTGTTGATTAATTCGTGACCATTTGCCTGTGACATCAATTAATTCGTGTTTTTTGTCTCCTCTTGCTTTCCCCAGAAGCTGTCTTTCAGAAATTTCTTGGCGAATGTCATGGAGAATTCCTACGTACCTACATTAAGGAAAATCCACTACTCCTGTGAACGGCAAAATGATCGTTATTCACTGTGTTCGATTTATTTAGTAGATTTCATGTAGATCATTTTGCAATTTATTACGCTAAGTCCGATTTATTATTTATATTTTATTGGATATAAAATACTGCGGTAGTTTAGAAATTAGTTATAAA